TATTCTAAGAATACAATTTCATGTTCATTGTGTGTTACAAAATCTAAGAGATGTAGGACTCTATGCCAAGATAGAAAAGTATATAATTCACACTACTCAAGTCAATTTCTTAAGATATATCATTTCAAAAAATGGACTTATGATGGATCCTAAGAAAGTTCAAGCTATTATAGATTAAAAGATCTCAAAAATGATAAGAGATGTCTAATGATTTTTGGAATTTTCCAACTACTGTTGGATCTTCATCAAAGACTTCTTTCAAGTTGTAACTCCACTTATACGTTTGACTTGTAAAGACAAACTTCAATGGAATCAAGAAGCGGAAGTAGCATTTAAAGCTTTCAAGATAGCCTTTGTTTCTACATCAATCTTGTGTCGCGTCAATTTTTCTAAGCCATTTTTTATGAAAACAAATGTATTAGACTTTGTTTTGAATGCCATATTATCCCAAATGGGAACAAATGATAAACTTTATCCAATAGCTTTTCATTCCAAAAAATTTTAGCAACCGAGATCAACTACAAGATCCATGACAAAGAAATTCTTGTAATTATGGATTTGTTTGAAGAATGGTGCCATTATCTAGAAGGTGCTCCTATTCTAATCACCATGTATACGGATCACAAGAACCTTGAATATTTTATGTCAGCACGTGTTTTGAATTGTCACCAAGCCCGTTGGAGTATGTCTTTGTCAACATTCGAATTCAAAATCACTTATCGATCAAAAAAACAACAAGGTTTATCAGATGCACTTTCTAGACGATCTTATTTTGCACCAAAAGAAGAAGATGTTGCTTTTGATCAACAATGGACAATTCTCTTGAAGCTAGAGCATCTCCATCTTTGAATAATGAAATCAACACTAATTATTGATTCAACTTTTATTAAGGAAGTTTAATTAAGTATGTCTTCTAATCCTCTTATTTGTGATATTAAGAAAAATCCTTCAAAATCTCATGATACTTCCAAATTTGAATTCAAGAACAATCTACTATATTTTGAGGGATACCTATATGTTCCAAATGGTAAAGCTCGATTACGTGTTCTTCAAGCCTGTCATGACTTTCCAACAACAGGACATTTTGGATATAATACAACTTTGGAACTAATATCTAGAGGTTTTTGGTGGCCCCAAATGTGGAAAGCAATCAAAGATTTTATACAATCTTATAATATTTTACTCAAGATCAAAAACTCCTCGTCATCAATCTTATAGACTTCTTCAGCCAATACCCATTCCAGAACAACTATGGTCTTCTGTTTCTATAGATTTTATCACGGATCTTTCAATCTCACATTCTTATGACTCTATATTCGTAACAGTAGATCATTTAACTAAGATGGCACATTTTGTACTATGTATAAAATCTATCACAGGTGAAGAAATAGCTAAGCTCTTTCTTGAAAATATCTATCACTATCATGGATTATCTAAAGATATTATATTAGATAAGAGAACTTAGTTTGTATGAAGATTTTAGCAGACTCTTTTCAAGGTTCTAAAAGTGGATATAAAACTATCTTCGACATTTCATCCTCAAATTGATGGATAAATGAAGCATGTTAATTAAGTTTTCGAACAATATTTAAGATATACCATCAACTACCAACAAAATGATTGGACAACTCTTTTGCTATTGGTAGAGTTTGCTTATAATAACATGATACATTCTTCTACAAAACAAACACCTCTCTTTGCCAATTATGGTTATCATCCACAACTTGATAATTTTGACTTTTCAAAAGTTGATAATCTTGTAACAAAAGATTTGGCAAATCATTTATCAGTGCTACATTCAACAATGAAAGTAGAGTTAAAAAAAAGCTCAAGAACAACAAAAGATCAATGCAGATGTCTATCGAAAGGAACAACCACCATTTTACATAGATGAGAAGGTATGGTTACTTCGTCGTAATATCAAAACCACTTATCTTTGTGATAAGTTGGACTATCAAAGACTTGGACCATTTTCTATTTCTACACAAATCAATCCACTTGCATATCGTTTATACCTACCGAAGTCAATTAAAATCAATCTAGTATTCCACATGTCTCTTCTTGAACCATACAAGATAGTGGACATACCAAGAAGAAGACAAGCTCTACATCCTCCTATAGAAGTGGACAATAATGAAGAGTTCGAAGTGAAAGAAGTGCTAGATTCAAAGCGGTGTCGAAATAAATTGGAATATCTTATCTATTGGCGTGGATATGATATTAATGAATGCACATGGGAGCCAATAAAGAATCTTACAAATGTAGCAAAGGCGGTAGAGGCTTTTCATCAACGACATCCATCAAAATTAAGATGAAAACCTTCCTTATAAAAGAAACAAGATCTAGGCAAGATAACATTGTACTTTCAATCCTTATTTGTAGCTTCTTTGTAGTTGTGACATTGAAGAGATGGAGAACCAACAACCAATGGATTTGACTCAAGAGCCTTTGTTTGCTGACCTGCCATACGAGACATTACGATTGTCACAACCTTCAAGATGATGCAATCAAGATGAAGATTATCAAGAATAACATGTTCTTCTTCAAATAGATGGCAAGATACAATGCGTTTGGTATCACGACCTTGGAAGGAATCTCCGATGTTTGGTGATTTTACTAGAGATAAGAACAACTCCTGACGGTGTTCCAAATATTTTATTTGAAGGAAGTTATTAAGGCTTCAACAATGATCAAATAACTAAATGGTCTTCCCACCTTGGTATGGAACACTATCGATGGTTGAGAGGCCTTATCAATCATTTTTTAAGAGAACAAAGATCAGAGTATGTAACAAATACAATTTGCCGCATCTTAGACTCCCTCGACATGTGATTATTGCTCTTCGTGGAACTTATTCTTAGAAAGGGAGATAATGTCAAACATATATTTACTGAAATTATTACCTAAGTCATATGAATAGGTAGAAGTAGATAAAAATAGATTAATTTCATAATATCTTCTAGAAAAGCTTCCTAAAGCTTCATAGACTCTGCTTTGACTTTACATGTGTTTATACTTGATTGATAGATTAGAAACTTGGTCAACAAGTTAACCATGTGCCACACATGTTGATAGCTTGCGGAACAAGCTAATTATATGGCGCCCACATAGAAAACTTGCCTTGCAAGTTAAGATACGTATTGTACAAAGTCAACACATTTTTGGAGGTCCTATAGAATGTCGTCACATAGCTTCTAGATAGATAGTATATATAGAGGCAAGAATGAAGCCTTCTTCACTCTTGTCAACTCATGTCTTGCTTCTAGTCTACTTTCACAGGTCTCTACTTTTTTTATCTTTTGGCAATAGCCATTTTTTTTTTTTTTTTAATAAACATATTTAGTTGTTTCTATTTTGTCATCTTTCTTTGAGAAAAGTCTCACGTGTTTCTTTGTTTTTATCAAGTTCTTGTCCTTGACATGGAAATAGAAGAGTTTGAAAATGTTGAGATGCAATAGTAATAGTTTGAACCATAGTAGAAGTAGTTGAAGATATTGAAGCATTTATTATAAATGAATCTATAAAGAAAATACAAGATTAAGTAGAAAAGTTGAGTAAAATGTACCTTAAAATATAAAGTCAAATAAAATGATAAAGTTGAATTTGAAATCAAAAATATTAATTTTTTTTTTTTTTTTTTTTTTGAACAAAGTTGTAGATTGTAGCAATGGAGCAGCAAGGCGGTGGTGATAGCAATAAGTAGTGGCAGCGTCAGCGACAGAATCAGGGGCAAGCAATAGCAAAGACGGCTATTTAGTGGCTATTTGACAATAAGCACGGGGCATAGTAGGGAGGCAGGATTGGAGCAAGTAAGTAAGGTAAGGCAATCTAGCAAGTAGCTAAGGTGTGAGGGGCCAGTAAGAAGTGCAATAAGATCATGAGTCACATACCAAAGTAGTAAAAATCACTCAAGGAGAAGGAGTAGGAGTAGCAATCGGTTTGAAGAGTCAAGACTATAGCAAAAAATTGCAATAGTATATAAGAGTAAATTGTGCTGATAACGTGTTGAGAATGTTTAGAAAGACACAAGAGTAGTAGTAAGTAATATACACACAAGAGAGTTTCTAAGGAGAGAGAGAACTTCACACAAAATCTATTACATATACAAAAGGAGAAGGGGGAAGGATAAATAGTTTTTCTCCACTACATCCTAAATATTGTAGCTATAGTATTTACTGCAGACTATAGTAAATATCATGGAGAGGGCCAGCTACATTTAATGCTCTCAACAATAATGAATTGGACAAAACCCTAATGGATGGTATTAGTCTATGGGGTGTTTTGCCAAAGCAATGTGAACCCTTCCTACAACAAAATCTAATTCCAGTGCATCAGGTAAACCCTGTTTGTGTCAAAATAAGAAATAAAATAAAAACATGTGAAGCAAAGTGACAATCCTGCTCCTGACAATAAATGCGGCGGGGGTTTTGCAACCCCAAAGCCGCGAGCCACCCTTCACCGCGGAGCAACTCCCAAGTCGTCCCGGCGCAGGCAAGAGTCATGCGAGGGAGCCCGTTTGCAGCAGGGCGTCGTTGTGGGGAATGGCGCCATCGCACACGCTGCTTGGGTGTTGTTCTCCAAGCCGAGCTCGTGCTCGTGCTCGCGAATCTACAGTCGAGAGTGGTGGAGTGAGATACCCTGGGGGGTTCATGGGCAACTTAATTCTCTCCTTTCTTCTTCAATGATCTTCAGCGCTGGTTGCTCGGTGTTCCGTCTCGCACGACGGGTCGGCAATCTTCCAGCCGTGCACGATTCACTCTAAAATTGACGATGGATCTTTTAGCGCGCGGGGGGACTAGGGGAGCAGACCAGATCAGAGCTTGTGTGTGCTTTGCTGTGCATTTGTCGAGAATGTGCGAGGTTGGCTTCTATTTGGTCCCAAGAGTTGGGATGATGACGAGTGGACTCGCAACGTCCAGGAGAGTTGAGCAGTGATCTTAGTTCCGCCCCTGGGCGCCGGTAGTTGTGGAAGGGATTTCGTGTGCATGATAATGGTAAGTTCTGTCGGCCTGCCATGGATCGTTGCAGGGTGCGTCGCAGTTGGGAAGGATTACACGTTCAGAAATGTGTTGGTGGGTGTCATTAGGAACTGAGAGCCTCACACATCTTAAGAGAATCTGAGCTTGAAGTCTGCGCAATCGGAAGTTGCTTAATGCGTAGATTTCGTGACTCGCTGGCGCTTTTGCTTGCTGATTGCGACGTAGGAAACAGATGAGACATTTAGATGGCTTAAAAGTTCGTGTTGTGTGATGTCACACATCCGACATACTTTTGGTTCGGTTCGAGTTCGGGATTGTTGCGTCTCCGGATATGTTGTATAGGAGTTAAGCTTTATACGGATCACCTTCGATGGATTCTTTGAAATGGTTTAATGACCTCTGTTAGCTAATTCATAATCGCGAACCCCATGGACATTACGTGTTAAATGATGCTTTTCATTTTATGTTTTTAATAGCATAATCCTACTGTTCATAGCTCTTAGCCCGTCGATCAGAATTTTATTCCGTTTTAGATCCAGCCTCTGACTTTGTTTCGTCAATAATCTTTTCTGTGTTTGTTTGGGTAGAAGCGTCCAACATTTCTGATTCGACCACTGAAGTCATCACGGAGTTGAGGCTCCAACCATCTAGTGGGTCATTCGTTCGTATGTGCTCATGAGCACATTGGGGCCTCTGACATTCTATTCGCCTTAGAAATAATAATCAGTTTGCAGCGACGTTATTGTTACTCGGGTGTGGAAGGTCGTGTTCTAGTTTAGAAGCGAGACCTCTATCGTCCAGGGTGAAGCGTCATGTCACTGCTGCCAACTCTAGTGTTCTGATTGGCGGCGTACCATAGTGTGCTGTATTTCTCCGATTTGATTTTTCTACGTCAAAACTTGGACACTGAGTTCAGTTCTGCGTATGTGGCATGATCACGCTGGCAGTAGCTTTTAGGTTTCTGATTCGTAACTTAAAGTTGTAAACATTTGAACCCTATTGATGATAGCATCGACCCAGATACGACTTACGAAGGCTCTTTTATGAGCGCCAGTTAAATTCAGCCGCAATGCAAACATGTTGATGCGTTATTGCACCAACAGATGCATCTATCCATCGAGCTTAGTCACCAGCGGGATAAGATAGGTTTGATGATTTTCCGTTCTAGCATCTTCGGATTATCCCGAGTCTAGCCATGACCACAGTGCTTAGACCTGGTTGAATTCCTCCGATAGGGTCTGACCCGGCGTGTCGCCTTGAGCGTCCGCTGTAGAAATATACCGAGGGACAAAGTTATACGGACCGTGGCGATCATTTACAGAGCCTTGTTACGTCAGTGAAGATTCAAACATTTACAGCTTTAGGGCCGTTGGTTCCACCGTCTGAATAACCAACAGATGGGTCTACAAGTCCTCACTTTACAAGAAAATTAAACTAACAATGCGTGGCCGCATTTTTTCTCAGCTAGTAGAAGCGCATTCTCCCCTGCGATCTCATCGAAGGGCCACATCACCAATCACGAAGGCCGTTCCCATTCGAACGTACAGGAATATAACCACTTTCCAAGGTTTAATAATTTGCAGTTACGTACTTGGTTTGCGTGGTTCTTCATGCAACTATTTTCCGCCATTACTGTAAGTCACGAAAGCTTCGGTATCCGATTGACAGCAATTACCATCTCCTGTATAAGTCTTGCTAGGTTATGTGTGATTCTGAGAAACCTGGACCTGATTGTAGCTTGAAAATGGCCTTAGGAATTGATGAACATCCTTTGCCCAAATTTCTCAGATCTTTAAACAATGGCTTTTGTGTAATTCTTAAGATATCCAGTTTGCACTGATTTGAACCAGCCCGACCGACTTTTCACTTCTTGCCAGGTACGTAGTTTTCCTTGCACATAGTCAAATATCCTGTGTGCCCTAGAATATCGTTCTTGCATAAGCGTTTCCTTCGCCGTTATTCTTTAAATCCAACGCCTCTACGTTTCTTCATCAGAAAACCAAGCACAGCCTGGCTGACTCACGGTTTGCGAGGTTTCGGGGTCAGCGGCTTGCAAGGCTTCGATGCTTCCAGAAGGTTATGATGTTAATTACAGGTTTGAGGGGATTGATGCAAGGCGCAGTTGCTAATGTGAGTCGAGCACCATGCAGCTGTTGGCGTGGAAAATGGCGGTGAACACACGTCGACGGCGTTGACTGTGAAGGAGCAGTGTGCGTAAAAGCAAAAGTGTTAACTAGCTCAATGCTCTCAACTTAAGATTCTAATCAGAGTGTAAGAAACTCATGTAGTACATTGGACGATCATCATGATCCCCAAACGGTGATATTGTTAGGCGTGGCTCAAACATAGAAATTTCTGCAGATTACTCTACGACATTTGATTAAAGTGTGCTGGGATATTAGTGTTGTGCGCAACCTACGTACCTCCATGGTCAGAATGGAAAAGAAAATTATCGTCTTCCAAATTTTTCTCTAATTCCATTCTTCGATCAAGATGTGCAAAAATGTTGGCAATCTCCATGAAAAGATCATTTTCTAGTTGTTATTACATTCAATTTGTGCGAGAGCTTCAGGTATCCTTAGTTCTCTTTGGTAACTCAAATTGCTAGTTTCCGTCTCAGATGAGGTAATACACATGATGCATCTGCACCGTAATCCGGTGCTTGGGCAATTTGTTCTCCTGATGATGTTATGCGGAGCAAGGTTATTTTCTCGTTGCTAACTTAAGTGCAGTTTCAAGTACAGAAAAAGATAGTTCAAGAGCTCCACTTCCATGACCATGACAGACACAATTCGGCTGAATGTGAGATGAGAGGAGATGGACAAAAACACTTGCCACAATCTTATTTACAGTGTTTCTACACCTGAGTGATACAAACTTCGTTTACGAACTAGAAAATACAACTCACAACTACCTGGTACTTGTGACGGAGATTCACCACTATACCTGTTCCAGTACTTAGATCACCTGGGTCTCCTTTCCCACTTCATTCAACACCTTGAGACTATCATTATGAGAGTGGGTGAAGCCGATTTGCCTTTCCTTTTCCACGGTCTCCCGTGCCCTGAACGCCACAACCCACGCTCTTCGCCAACTGGTGGAAGAAAAGTTTCCACCTGAGCCGTGCAAAGTCCGCTCTTGGTGCACGGTAAGGTCACCTCTGTTGATCTCTGCCGGCTTGGGTTTGTCATTCTCTGATACAGTGGCGGCCAAAGTGTGAGACTTGTCTCGGTCACCATGTAGTGGCCCATGATAACGTAAACTGCTTTCCAGGTGGGAGCCAGGCACAAACTGCACACACCCATTTTCTACTCGAGAATTGTCTATTGCAAGCCAGAAGGAAGCCGTGCGCGTGTCCTTCGTGACTGGCCAGTAGGCCAAGTCTTGATGCCTACCACAAAAGCAACCCCACTTGAGGTGTTACACACACACTTTCTGATCCATTTGTGTGACATCCGCAAACAACTTACATTGATCTGACGCAAGATGTGCAGCAGTGGAGTAAGTCAACTTAAACAATGGCATTTCAGATGGATCGAAGGTGCATTTATGCCAAACGAAGTCGACTGCAGAAAAGACCATCTCACCATTTGAACTCAGCGTCCGGTTTGTTGGGGGGTTTAGCAAGGAGCTGATCATAGTCCAGGACCATGTCGGAACCGAGCAACTGTTCCGCGATGGATGCAGCTCGTTTCTCATATATGTTCCCTTTGAGGCGAGGATTGTACCTACAAGATGTGAAATTCATTCTTGGTGATTACCAATACACATGAGCGGACGACGTGGGACCTGATCTAATGAGGTGAACGAGGAAGTTACTTTGATGGTAGCATGATGTTGATGATGGAGAAGCTCTCCATGGGCTTGCTGTAGTCTCCTGACATGTCGCAGAAGTCACGGCCCTCGACATGTATTTCTCGCCTCACGAACGCCATGAATTCTTTTTCCAGGTTACACACTTCATCCTCCGACAGCACTCCCTGTAGAGGAGACCGGTTACAAACGATGCATGAATGTGCCATTTTCAAAGCAACGACTACACATCGAAACCTTAAAAAGAGCATACAAACTCATTACATTCTAATCCTTTTAGAATGTAGTTTATGGAAGGGTCCTTGGGGAAAGCTAGAGGAACTTCCATGTAACGAGCCAATAGCGGGAAAAGATAAAGGCTCTACTTATGACTTAAGGAAGAGCACTTCAGTCACTTATAACTCAAAAATAAGTAAATAAAACACACACATCTAAGTACTGATGTATACAACAGAGATTAAACAGAGAATTGAGCTCCAGAAGCCAGTAATACACATCTAATCTTCGCATTCATGATCGATACCTTTCTCACAACTATCAAGTCTCAAGTTGATATATTTAGAGCAGGGAAACCCTAGCCAAACTGAAATTAACTTTGTGACATCCGCCACATGGACAACTCGATGTTGATTTCAGACCAAAAATACATAGAGATACCAATTTCTAATCGTCGGAGCTTGAATTTCGATCAAAGAAAAGGCACGAAACGGCAACGACAATGAACCGTAAGCGAAACCCTTGCTGATCAACACAATCGGCATCGATCAAACAAATTGCTTGTTTCAACTTTGCCGCTTCTACTACCTTGATTCAGAACCCAGCCAAATTTCACATGGTTGACTCCAAAAATCCTTCACACGAGGAAAAAAAACCCCAAAAAACCAAAAAACCAAAAAAGCCACACTCAGCAAAGAAACACCAACCCCAACACGTAATATGTGGAAAGACTGGCCTAGAAATTGGACCCATCTATGCACGAACTCAATGATGGCCATTTCCGCGCCCCAAACAGTGAAGCACATGTAGATTGAACACACCGATCGATTGAGCGCTACCTTAAGGTGCACATATCCATCGTTCTTGAATTTGCCAATCTCCTCCTCGGAGACGACGTAGCGATCGCCCTGACGCCTCGATTCCACCTCCTCCATAGCCAACTATTGGTACCAGTTAGCAAACACGAAAGCAATTCGATACCAGAGAAACCAACGCCCAGTCAGCGGTTCAGCATTGACAAAGGATAAAACGACTACAGCCACCAGAATTCATTCGTTCATCTACATAACTCCAAATCTCGTTGTGTTATTGATCTCTTCTTTTGCTAATTGTTGGGATCTGTGGTGCCTGGTATGGTTTAGTTTGTGACGATAAAACCTTTGCGTAGGCAAGTAATTAACCTTTCACCTCTGAGCACAACAGCAGATTTATTTCCACTGAAGAAGCGCATCGAAAAACAGTTGTTCACTTATTTAATGCAATGTCCCAGAAATCGTAAATGTGCGATGAAGAAATGGGTTTCAAGGCGATAGCATGCTGCCCCCTTCCACCTCAGCGTCGAACCATCGTATCTGACCATTCTGCAAAGCCCATCCATTGAGTATAACGGGTTGAGGACACGGAGCCCAACCCCATCTGATCTCACCCAACTTGATGCTACCCGCGGACAGAAAATCGCTAGGGTTCGACCGCCTGCCTCGTTCTGTGTCTGGAGATCTGCTAATTTGATGCTGCGCGATCAATTGACTCTTCCTTGACCGTGGACACACATTGGACCAACTTTCGGTCCTTCTCGCAGCAGAGGGCAAATTCAGAGAGCAGCGGTGAGGGAAGTACAGTGTGGGAGTTCAACTGGGTACAGCCATGGCAGACGAGTTGGCAGAAACGACGAAGTCGTTGAGATTGGACGATCCCAAGGCTGACGACTTGGAGGAGGTAGAGATTGCGGAGAAGCCCGTAGATGAGGCACCTAGGGCGAAAAAGCACCCGTTGGAGCATTCATGGACGTTTTGGTTCGATAACCCGAATGGGAAGCAGAAGCAGGCGACATGGGGTAGCTCTCTCCGTGCCGTGTATACGTTCGATACCGTCGAAGATTTTTGGTGGTATGTGGATTTTGTCCTTCATGTTTCGTTTTGGGCTTTGTTAATTCCACTACCCCTACGCCCTTGATGCACGATTGACAGGTTTCGGTGGTGCATTTTCCTCTTTCTCCGATTCCTCTGGAGGTTTCTAGTGGAACAGTAGTACATGTCAAGGGTTTCCTTTTACGTCTTTGTTTTATTTCTTCGAGGTGTAGTGAACAAGTGTGTGCATCGTTAGGTTTCTTAGTGGGTACACTTGTGACGGCGGTGAATTAGATTCCTTTGATGTACTCTCACATTATGGTTGATAATCCTCTCTTTGCAGTTTTTATAATAACGTTTTGCAACCTAGCAAACTAAATGCGGGTGCAGATTTTCACTGCTTCAAGGCAGGAATTGAGCCTAAGTGGGAGGATCCCAAGTGCGCTCATGGTGGGAAATGGACTGCTCAGCCTCCCAGGAGTGGCGGCAAGGCTGCCCTGGATACTTACTGGCTACACACTGTACTGTCCATTTTCCCTTCATGTGGCTTTGCTTGTAATCGTATGATTGGACGTCTTGCTGTAGAGCGAAGACTATTGGGTGATGGTCAACATTTTAAATGAATTGTACGCTGTACATATCAGAATTCGTTCTTATCCGAATTTTAGACACCAAATGCAACGTTGCCCGAATCGTCACCCCGTTAGGCTTTGAAGTTTTACTGTGCTGTAATTTGTGAGTGCAGTTGCTCGCAATGATCGGAGAGCAATTTGACGAAAGCGAAGAAATTTGTGGAGCAGTTGTAAGCGTCAGAAGGGCTCAAGATAAGATTGCTATCTGGACTAAGACTGCATCCAACGAGGCCGCTCAGGTGGGTTATCGTAACTATCTGGATCGCTTTACAGCTAAACTCTTGAGGGTTTGACTCTGGTCGTCTGTCGTTTGTGGGTGCTACCAATTGCAGATTTTCTTTGCTTCTGGGATACGAGTTATTTTCTCGACGTTGTCGAAGGTGCCATGTTTATTACGCCCGGTAATATATTAGGTGATCTGGCACCTCAGCACTGCAGCCAAATGCAACAATAACTGGAGTGTGAATGGCAGCCACTCTTTCTCACCGTTGAAATTTTCAGGTTACTATTGGGAAACAATGGAAGGATATTATTGACTGCAATGACAAGCTGGGCTACCTTGTTCATGTAAGTCGTCACGTGAACTTATGACCAAAGTTGTACTATGATCATTCAATCAGGACTTGTTTTTCTTTGATTCATGTATTCAGTCTACTTTTCTAGGACTTTACGAATACGGAAAATTGTATATGTGCAAATGAAGGTTTGCATGCGGCTAGAGGCTGTTAAGTTGGTGATCATATATTTATGCATGTATTCCTTGACCATCCTTGTCTGTCGTCCACATAAGTAGAATTTGGAACTCATCGTTTTGCTATCGTCAGTTGATCGGTTACAACTCGTCTTGCATTATAGTAGAAACTCAGGTACTCATATTCGCAGTGTTCAAGTCTCCTCATTGGTGGTAGAGTTAACCAATTCTGTCATGCTGCAGGAGGACGCTAAAAGACAAGAAAAGGGTGCCAAAAACAGATACACTGTTTAGAAAATAGAGTTTCTTAGAATGTATCCCTTATGTTAGGACTGCCAGCTTAATTTTGGTTTGGTTGCTTTTGGTCGCCTGTGGTGGATTTCTGGTTTTTAGACAGAGTTACAAGTTGCAATGGCACTGACTTTTGACATTTCTGTTGTTTTTGTTGGTGAAGAATGCAAAATTGCTTTAGCAATTTGAGGCTGTAAATTAGAGCGGGGCTCTATTATGTTATTGAGAATTTTCATCCTGACGGTATATGCTGTCACAGCTTCTCCTTGGGTCGATGTCTGAGCTTATTTTATATCTGATAATGTTCGATTGGTGCTTCGTTTTTACTCTGTCAAGCCAATGGCCATTAATGACTTTTGATTCTATAGCTTGCAATTATGTTATATTCTGAATATCGCACATTCATACAAGAATGTGACCCATTAAAAACAGTTTCATGAAGCATTGGAGTCACACATGTAACAATAAATTATCTTGAACAAATTGATAGAAATTGATCAATGTCTTAGTCATGTTGATGTGCCAAATCCTGTCCATCAAATCCTAGACCTAAGACCATCACACGCAGCAGCTTTGTTAAAATTTATGGACCGAAATGAAGAACATGAAGTTGTGCAAACATGTTCTAACCTGCTCTTTTGCTCACATTCACCAATAATTAACTTGTGGTCTAATAACTGTAATACAATCTAAACCTATTATAATGTGGAAAATGTAATGCATACAGACCTACAATACCACATGCCTGTTGTCTTTGCAGGTTCGAATTTGTATTTCTAAACTACTTGGACTTTAAAGTATTTTCATGTTACAAATCAATTGAATGTTCCACTTATATTCTTGTAGATTCCATGTACGAGTTGAAAGTGTAATAATTTAGATTGCAATTCTCAAATTTAAACAAATCAATTGTAGTATCAAAAAATAGAAAATCTATATATATATATATAGTTTGTAAGCACATATTACACATAATGTGTGTAATGTTTTAAAATAATAATATTTAGAAATGATTAAACATTATAAATAGATCCTAAAAAAAATAAATATCCATATGTGATTTATTCTAATATGAATATACTCTTGGAACATTATACAATTGTGGTTCAAAATCAAAGTATGCATAGAAATTATATATAAAAAATATAAATTTTTATATTTAAAATCAAAGGATTTAATATTTTTCATACTATAAACATGTAATTTTATTTAAATCTAAAATATTTATTATTTTTTAAATTTTAATTTTTAAAAAATATATTTAATAGAGATGAATTTAATTTAATAGACTATAAGAATAAACCATAAGAATATTAGTTTTAAAATTATATTTAATGTACTTTATATAAATATTTATTATTAATTTTTAAAATATTTATAATGTCAAGGTATAAATATAAAATCAAAAATTATTTTTCTTGCAATTAAAAATAAATAAAATTTTACTAATACAACAAGCAACATATTTTAATGAAACCTAATATAGTATATACATTGTTAGGTTTATATTTTGGAAAAGACTCTACATATATTCTGCAAACTAAAATGTTGAAAATAAGATTTATAAACTTTTATCTTAGACTTGTCTTTTGATTTCTTCAATGATAAACTCAAAGTTCTATTTATAGAAAAATATCATACTTTTAGATAGTATTCTATTGCAAATATTACTAATATACATCCAATCAAAGTAATATAATTTTCTTTAACTGTCAAAACTACACTCTAATCATGAATTACAAAAAGAAATATTGATGGCATTTAGATATTACATAGAAGACTAACAATAAAATGTATATATATAAAGTTTTAAAAGATAATTTTGTGTAATATTTTAAAAAAACAAAGATCAAAGTAATCAACATTAAACTTATAAATAGAAAAATAGTATTATATCCTTATTGACTTGTTTTATAAAATTATATGTATTTCAAAAACTATTTTGCAACTGTTGTGTGCTTTACATATTTGATTAAATGTATAATTGTTTCAGTCTAAATTTATACATGATTTGACAACTTACTCCATACTATAGTGAAAACATTACTTTAAAAAATACAGTTATTATTTAAATTGATGCAAAATCATTCTTGGTTTTATTACCACAAGATCATTATTACCATTACTTATCTCGCACATCTTGCACGTGAACATTAGACTTTTCAACATCGCTTCAAAAGCTCATTATTTTTTTGTAAATTTATATGTCAAAATCGTGGTTAATTCACCACAAAATAACCAGTCCTGATGGATTCACCCATCAAACATACACCACCCCACCTCCAAACTTTGACTGGTGATCTATCCAAAAAATAAAAATGTCCAAACATTCATGGCTAAACTCTCTTCTTTCAAAAAGTCATTTTTATTTAGAATAGATAATTTATTTCCCAAAATTCAAGACACATAGTTTTTGAGGGAGTTTTGAGGATGTAGAGCAAAGCATTTACATCTAGGCCAACATTGTAGAAGTGCTTTAACATGTCAGTTCTATACCATGAAGTCTTGTATGCACTGGTGACTTTAAACCCCTGTAATGGGAGCTACATATTAACCAGCACCACAATTCTGTAGGATGTATAAGACCTGTTTTATTATCTGAAGATCTATCAAATCCAAAATTATTTTGCTTAAATGGTATACAAATAATCATACAAATTGTGAGGTAAAAAAATCTGCACCGAAAAATGTAATACAATGTCGGTTCGCAAGTTTCACCTGTGGTTTAGAGCTAGTTATGAATTCAAACCTATCCTAACCTCCACCCCCTCCTTTTATAAAACATCAAAATTAACTAAAAACAGTAAAGGACAGGTTTCATTCCATCCCTCTATCTTCCTAAAAGGATTGCACAATTACAACTTTCTATCTTTCTCACATCCTTCCTGAACTGTCTACAAAGCGGATGGTCTGGTGACAAAAAGAACCATCGAAATATAACTTTAGTGGTCCGCACAAGAGTGATAAAATTTCAGGCTCACACCGTATACCTGCTTTTTGCGTTCTTCTCTTGTCTCTTAGCATCATCCTGTACACCCAAAGACGCAACATCAATTGCTGTTGAACCTCAGTCCACACTGATTGCACAACCCAAAATGCATTACTACCATCTATATGATTCCAAAAGCATCATGAATCCACCCTTTTCCAAGAAAGAGGACATCGACAGCTGCTGGTACTCGGTACAGAAGTAGGTTGTGTCCTATGTTTTGGACATTACGCAGGAACTAAGTAACTCAGGAACTAAGTAAAATGTCTTGAGCAATATTAAGAGACTGGTCCGACAACTGTAGAAGAAGCCCCCAGGGGATGAAACTAAGACCAATAGAAAACGAGGCAAAGCATGATAGATCAGTATGGAAGCCCAGGAGAAGGTCCCCCATCTTGCACCGAGGACGGGATGGAGGAAGAAACTCCAAGTCCACACGTAAGCCTCTAGAAGTAAATAGAAACATGTTAACGTTACATAACCCCCAATTGTCACGATTATCTTGAGTGGAATCTACCAGTTACAACATGAGAGAAAAATCACATGAAACAGAACTCACGTGAAAGACATATCCAAGTTTTTCGTGATAGTCCAGTACATCCTTCCATTGCGTACCAATGCTTATCTGTAAGCACAAGCCACATTATCATATGATTTTGATAGCTTGTCTCAACCTCAATCAATGGTCTACATATAACTATTATACAAACGAAGTGCGAATCATTTCCACGAAAACAAGCGAAAACTGCCTGATGGCGAGTTAGAAGAAGCCTTCGACCATCAGTTGCAATATTTGAGTGAACTTTTAAGAGAGAGTATATATACGACAAACACATTGAGGGCTCGACAGAAACGTTTAATCTCAGTGGGACCCCTCACCATTGAGATTAAATGTATTTCTAACTCCGATGAATAACATACCTGAGCATTCTCGTTGGAAGCGGTTGTGGTCCAGATGGCGATCTTATCTTGGGCCCTCCGAGCACTAACCACTGCTCCGCAAATTTCATCGCCTTCATCGAATTGTTCTCCAATCATCGCCAGCAGCTGTATCAGAGATTATCCGAAGCCAACATATGAGTTCTCAGAGGAAACATCAACAAACATTGAACCACCGCCATCGGGACTCATGAAATTATCAGTTACCCAGATAAATAAAAAGTTTCTTAGACTATTCGACAGCGACAGACTACTTTTCCTATATATCATCGTCGAAACTCCACAGAGAGAAACGCGAAACGCACGGTATAAAGCCAGTAGGTGTCGAGAAGCATCTTGCCGCCGCTTCTTGGAAGCTGAACAGTCCATTTGCCACCATGAGCGCATTTCGGGTCCTCCCACTTGGGCTGGATTCCAGTCTTGAAGCAATGAAAATCTGCATTGGCAGACATCTTGCTAGGCGGCAACACATTGTTGTACAAACTACAGAACGACAGCAAAGCACAGAAATAAATAACAATCCGTCACTCCACTCCACATTTAACCCACGACCAAAACATACCTATCTCATAGAAACGATTTGGACCCAAATTTTAACAACCTGAGAACAAACTTCGGTTTCCATCGGAAGCGAAACTAATTCAGCAATAACGATCTCGTCGGTGCATGATCAAGATCCCGCACATTGTTATAAATTCCATAGAATTCTTAATTAAGATGCGCCTCGGCAATGACGCTACGATTGAGCACCAGGTTATCGATATCGCACAGTAGCAGCGGAGGGCGAATTATACAGGGCTGGCGAAGAAACATACCCCCAAAATTGTTCCACAGTATAGAAAGTGTACACCTCACGGAGGGAGGTTCCCCACGTCGCCTGCTTCTGTTTTCCATTGGGATTGTCGAACCAGAACGTCCATGAATGTTGCAACAAGTGCATCTTCGCTTCGGGCTGTCGATTCACCGAAGTCTCTTCGAAATATTCCAATTCCTCGACCCCTCCGCTCATGATCGTCAACCTTGACATCGCAACTGCCGACTCTACAGCGTCGTTCTCCGTCATCGCGTCTCCTCGAAACAGGATTCCTGTCACCACTGCTTTATCCCACTGGCCTCGAATTCAATATTTCACGCGTGCGCGTTAACAACCTGCCGGGAATATCGTTCGGTCAAATTGCAGGCAGCACGAATCATGAGATGAGGATACCGCGAAGCTCACAGCAACGACATCAATGTACTGCGGCAAGCAAAAAATCAAGCCCTAAATAGTAAAATAAAAAATTGGATGAATGAAATCATTCTTCCTCGTTCATCGCAAGGATGAATCTCATCTTCTAGATGGAAGTTGTCTTCAAGGATTTCATCATCCATCCAAAGCTGTCCATTATTAAACTCCGGAATTAATCGTGATCTCAAGAATGTTGATGGTTTCTACATGTGAAATGGAAAGCAAATGTGGTGTGGGTTAAGAAATTAGACATGAGTGTTTGTAGTTCAGGATTATTACTTGCTTGAGGTATGAATTCAAAGGTTATGTACAATGATTTAATTTCCCAAAAAATACTGTGGAATAAATCTTTATAGATCCATTGTTTTTAAGGAATATTAAGAAATTAAATTAGATTTTTATTATCCTGCTTTGATTTTGACAAACATTAAGAATTTTTAGTTTGCATCTCTCAAAATAAACAAATAATCATTTTTTGTCTATATGTAAATATGAAAAAATTATATTAAAAGGCTATTAGACTATGACAATAGATAAAATCTATGTGCTTAATTTGCCCAAGTGTTGATGATTTAGTTTGGATTTGAAATTTCCAAACTTCTTATTGTGAACTAAAAGATTATAATAAGATATATAATAAAAAAAATATTAATTAAAACAGCCTTATACCTAAATAAAATCAAAAGATAAGAAATACTGAAAATTCCAATGAATTTATAATAAAAAAAATTAGTATATATTATTATGCATTCACAAATATAAAGAAATAGAATAATATTGTAATTTATCAAAATATTTGTGGCATGTTTATTACTAAGCAAAGAAGTATATCCAAAAAAAATAAAAGATACTATTGAATAAATTAATAGTATATTATTATTATTGTGTTTTATAATGTTTTATTAGCTAACTCTTTAAAAAAAATGAACTTAAAATCTTTAAAATAAAAATTTAGAAAAATATAAGATTTAAATAGTTAATAAATAAATATTTATATTTATATATTTATTTATATGATTATTCATTGAAAAATTTTAAATAAACCAAAGTTTTTATTAAATCGACCAACCTATCTTAACCATCATAAAAAGAAAAATGACCTCTAGATTCATTTTTTTACTAATTTGTACACAATATATATGGAAGATGTATTAAATAAAAAGAATGTATTAGATAAAATTGTAGAGATTACTACATTATATATGTATATTGAGAATTGATTAAAATATTTTTTTTGTCTCTAAAACAAATAAGTATATAAAGAAAATAGTTTTAGAATTTTAAATATAATTTAAATATTTTTAAAATCTTATTTATAGTATGTATACCATCATACTTCAACCAATTCAAAAAATAATGTATCTTAAATAGTCTATTAACAACTAGAGGAAATATATTTAGCAAACCAAATGATTGTATAACTATTGTAAGAACTTTAAATCAATGATATCTATATATATATAATAGAATATATTTTACTAAGTCAGTGATTTTTTTATTCCAATAGGTTAAATCAAGCATAAAAGTGCTCCAAATGAGGATTGAGAACAAAGACAAGAGACAAGGATTGAAAACAAGAGACAAGGTAAGAAGGGAGAAGAGATGGAGGATGGCAGATGAGAGACAAGGGTTGGGAATATATTAGATGGCATACTATAATGTTATAACCATGTAGTAGAGTAGTTGCAAGGACCTCTCTCTGTGTGAATGTCTCCCTTCTTACACAATTAATTTTATACTTTAGCCAATCAATAATGTTTTTACATAGATAGATACTATTTTTTTAATATAAGTAGATAATAGAGTATATTTTACTAAGCTAATGATCTTTTTTACTCCTATAGTTTAAACTAAGGACAAAAGCACTTTAGATGGGAGTTGGTAAAGACTATTAACCTCTTAAAATGGTACTAACAACTTCAACTAGTTAATAATTTTTGTTAATAAATAAATGTCATTTATATATAAATATATAATTATAATCATAATTTATATTTTTAGAAAAAACAAAAATTTTGTACTATTTTTCTATTTTGATAATGTTGTATAAATAAATATTATTACACATAAAAAATCAAGTACTACAAATTAATCTCAAAATATGTAATCTAAAACAAATACACATACACAATCAATATACTTTGAAGAAAAGATGATAAATTTATATACAAATAAGTCAAGTTACCTCTCACATCACAAAAGAAAACTCTAAAAGAAGAAGTATGAGTAAAAAATATTCTAAAATATTACTAAAATGGCTAAATTACAACAACCAAGCAAATCCTTACAACATAAGCTTTTCTTTTCTCAAAATATCTCACAAGACTTCACTTGATAAGAATGTCAAATCAAAGAGGTTTTTCTATTTAAGTATTCAAATTTTAGTTGATATTAAGAAAGTCAACTCACAAAAAAAGCTAAATGGATAGAAAACTATTAAATCATACTAAAATACATATATTTGATGGGATTTGGAATTTAATGCTATATTACATGATAATTGTTGTAAAAAAAAAGATCTTTACATACAACACATTAAGTGCTACAAACCTATCACAAATTATATAATCTAAAAGAAATAAAAATTCATAACCAATACACTTTTAAGTCCTTCTCCTTCTCTTATTAATTAGAAGCCCTTCCATTCAATTAGGACAACAAAATATACACAATCAAGAAAAAATGCTACAATGATGTTATTCCAAAATTATATATAATTAATATAGATATATATATTTATTTATTCTAATATTTTTGTATGATTAAATAGAAGTAGATAAAAATAGATTTATTTCATAATATTTTTTAGAGATGCTTCTTAAAAGCTTCATGGACGTTTCTTTGACTTTACATGTATTTGTAGTTGATTGACAAGTTAAAAACATAGTTGATAAGTTTATTAAGTATTTATAACTTCTAGAATAAGTTAAATAGGTGGTATACATGTAAAAAACTTTTCTTGCAAATTAAGATATGTTTCTTTCAAAGTCAACATATTTTCGAAGTCTAATAGGATATCACTACATAGCTCCTAATTAAGAAAAAATATGGAGATAAGAGTGAAGCATTCTTCACTCTTATCAATGCCTTTTTACTTCTTATTCTTATTTCAAGACTTTCTAGTCTTCTTATCTTTAGCAATAGTAATTCTAATTTAATACTATATCATCTTTACATGATTTTTTAGTCTTTTCAAGTGACACAAGAGTGTATTGATATTTTAATTCTTTGAGATACATGACTTTCACAGTTTGACAAGTCTCCTAACTTATTATTCTTTTCTTATTTTAGAAGTGAGTTGGATTATGCTACTTCTATTATTATATTTTAAAGCTTCCAGATTATCAATCTTTAAACAAACTATTTAATTTTCTAATACCAATTTTTTTTCCTAAAAGAAATCAGATATCTTTCTTTGTAGAAATTTTCATTTGACATTAGAGATTACAGAATATTTTCCTTTAATTTGACCTTTTGAATTTATTGGAGTTTTTTATAGAAGAAAAGATTGTAAATACTATTCTCATTGAAAGAAAAAATAGATTTGTAACTATTGTAGGTCTTCACAAATTTTTTAAGACTCTTAGAGTAGAAATTTCATACATCAACAATACCAACTATAGAAATATTAATCCTATGTGTATAGAAGAAGTTCAAAATCTATGGCAAAAAGTTTTGTAATTGAAAGAAGCAAATAGATCAATCTCATAACCAAATCCAAGAAGTTTTGCTTCTATAAGTATGATAGAGACATAAATTAATATGCCTAATAAGTTTGATGGAACGAGATCAAAATTTTGAGGATTTTTGCAATAATTCAAGATATATTTAAGATTGCATTCCTTCCAATATCCTAATGGATTTACTCAAGTTAGGTTCATAGGTACATTTTTATCTAGAAGTACTTTTTTTTTATTTGCATCATTAACAGATTCACAATTCATGACTTTTTTAAAATTTGAATTCATTCTTAGAAGTATTTACAACTATATTTAAAGATAATGATTGAAAAAGAGCAGCAAAGATCAAGCTCTTATTCTTACAATAAAGATCAGAGTTAACTATCATATATGTTTTTGAATTCCAAAATCTCCCTTGTAACATGGACTAGAATAACAAAGTCCTTATCAATCAATTTTGATATGGATTGAAAGATAATTATATCTTTTAATCTAATTATTTTAGGATTATTTTGGTTAAAAAAATATAACCCTTAGATAGAATGGATTTTTTATAATCTTAATTTTTCTTATAGTTTAATCCAAAATTTTGATAGTGAAGTAAAAATAGATAAGCCTAGTACATTCAAACTCTTATTGGTAGGTACAAGAGCTTTCATGCATGCGATAAAAGAAGGGTCATCTTTTGTTATATATTCCATATCTATTTTTGATGATAAGAAGATCTTAAGTAATATTCTTAGCTAGTATCAAGATTTCTATGATATTTTTTAAAAAAAGAATATAGATATTTTTCTAAAACATCAATCCTATGATTGTATAATTATACTATAAGAAAGATGTCAACCACCATTCGAACTAATTTATAGCTTATCACAAATCGAGTTGGCTACATTAGAAGAGTACATTGACAAGAGCTTAGCTAAGAACTTTATACGCTATTTAAAATCTCTAATAGAAGCTCTTATCTTATTTGTAAAGAAAAAAGATATATCTCTATGGATGTGTATGGTTATCAAGGACTTAACAAGATCACCATGATCAATAGATATCTCTTACTTTTAATTTCATGACTTTTTGACTAACTCAATCAAACAAAGATCCATATAAAAATAGATCTATAAGGATTATATAACAAAGTCTACATCAAAGAAGGAAATAAATAGAAGATTGCTTTTCAAACTAGGTATGGACATTTCAAATATAATGTCATGCCTTTTGGACTCACAAATATACTAGCTATTTTTCAACATTTCAAGAATGATGTCTTTCATGAGTTTCTTGATGATTTTGTTGTTTATTATTTAGATGGCATTCTAATCTACTC